CTGCGTTTTATGTAAAACTGGCTAGGTATTTTTACACAAATGAAGAAGGAAATTAAAGATAAAGGTACCCTATATCCGTATTGCAGCACATTTTTAGGCAACTTCTTTATTTTTAAGATTTTGATGATCAAACATCAACAAAATATTCGTTATGTTTGGACTAAATTTTCTCGAAAATAAAGACAATTTAAAATTCCATTACAATACGGAAATAGATTGAAGTTTTGTGATATATAATTTATATGGTATATAACAAATTACTCGCTGTTTTATGGCAAATGCTGAAGCTCTGCAAAACTTAATCAAGCCTTAATCAAAGCAAGTGTGTTTGGAATTTTAGGTGTGGCTTAACACGACAGGATCGGGCTAAGTCTGGCAGATTTCTGAAATATAATATATATTTCCTGCGGCCATACACCCGCTTTATCCGACTCCTGAGAGCGACCCGAACAGACTCTTAAGATCGTTGGTATTTTGTTTTAAGGAACATTCTAGTTGTCATAATATTCGTCAACAATTTGAAGACTCATTTTATTATAAAATCTTGGAAAAAAGTTTTTTATAAATAACAATTATTTAGAATTTCAGTATTAGGATATATTATTAATAAGATTGTTTTTGTTGTTTTCTTAAATTTTTTGTCTTTTCTTAAAAATACATATACAAGGCTATTATCCAAATAAAGCTAAATTTGAAATATCGCCTTTTTATGAAAGTGAAAAAAATTCTTTAGGGGTAAATTTCCTAATACGGATAATTAAAATTTAAATGTTTCTTATTTAAGAAGACAATAAAACAATAGCTAATTTAGTGTCTTGAACAAATACAATTTATTCATACACCATTCTAAGAAGGCTGAGCTGTGTGTTTTTAATAACATTTTGAAATCATTTACAAAGAATGCATTTACCAAATTGTTATATTGAGTTTTGAAAAAAAAATATGAAGTATCTCTTTTCTTTATGACATCTTATACAGTTAGAAAATTAGTTTCTATTTGTTTTTGTAGTTAGCTATAATTTATATTAAATAAAACAAAGCATAGTATAATTAAAAATATTATTTAAAATCGTTTTATTCAAATCCCAAAATAAATATAATAAAAAACATAAACATGAATTATGATATGATACTTGGAATTTGCACAGAAACAGAAATTTACATTTGTTAATATTTTTGTCAATTTGTCAACTTGTTATAAGTAAAATCACGAAAGTTTATGCTGACGGAAAGATAATGTGTGTGTATACGATTTTGGTATGAGAGAAAATATTTTGATCGAATGTACAAAGATGATAAATCTAGGTAGTTGTCATTTTAATTCACTATTCACTTATCATTTTAAGGATGTTGGTCGAAATTTTCCCTGTATCGTTGTAGAGACTTTGTAAGAATTCTAATAATCGTATAAATGAGTGAAATTCTAATTAGAATAGTATATAATAGTTGTAAATATATTTCAAATAAAATCGTATTTTAATTACATATTTTCCTTCTGAAATATCATTTTATTATCTACACTATAAATTCTTCTTGACAGTTATAGCTCAAAATGGTTTATTTTTATTCTTTAAGTACTATTTAACAGATACAGATAAAGATAGTTTTATTTTCATCAAATATCAAGCTCTAATTAAATAATTTTGGCTATAAAATAAATAAGTCATCAAAAATGACAGAAAACACAATTTATGAAATTAAGCTTAATTTTCATTCGTTTTAATGCATACAAATTTCGTACGTTTTCTGCGAAAAATAATATGACGCCGCAAAATTCGCAACAATTATATTGTTTATCCAATTTTCAAAAATGTTAATATGACAGCTAGCTAGCTACATTAAATTAATCAGGAAATTCCGAGAATCATATTTGAATGTACGATGCACGAAAGCGCAAATAAAAACGTTTTAAAATCTATGGCACCCTCTTTTCGTAAAAAACTTCCGTAACTCGTGGATGCATAAAAACGTGTTATCGTGTTACCCTTGTATTGCACATAGGTAAATGAAACAAGTTCCTTTATATATGGTCAATATGGTGTTACTTTTGTGTATTAATACGACATGAAGGTCTTGTCTTATAGATAGTAACAACTCTCACTGTCATGTATTTTCTCTTTGGACAGATTTTATTTAATTATTTTCTATGTTTTCTGCTTTTTATTGAAGTCTTTACAAGCGCTGGGCTGGGAGTAAAAATTGAAGGCCGCGACACACGAGCTAGCGCCACGAAACGCGTCCCGAAAAGTGGTAATGATCGAAAAAGTGGTAAGCCAATGAGGAAGTTGAGATGGTATTCTCTGGCCCTATGTGAGCTACAGGGCTGAAACTCAGAATGTAGATGGGCTCAAAGAACTTTACATCTTTTCATTATGTTTTAACGACATTTTGTGCACTATAAAACCCCATCATCAATAGGCGAAAAAATCGTCCGATTTAACTGAAATTTGGTGTGTCGATAGATTGGACCAGGGCAACTGACCGTGTCAATACGACACGTGTCACTGTGACAGTTAGTTTTGACATAAGAAACGTCAAAATTTGATGTCGATCCCGACCAGATTGGTGGGTAGGCTATGTGAGCGATGGTGCACACGGTCCCACCCGGCAAAGTTGGATACAACGCGCGACGTTTCGTTTACATCTACATCAGGGTGGGACTAAGAATTTAATATTGAAGAAAAATGTGGGTTGATTTTGGCATAATTGCGGATGGGCTACAGGATCACGGTCTCGACGTTTCGAACCGATGCCTCTATTATGGGTCGATTGGAACCAAACTTTGCACGCGGATATAGGTACCCAAAGGAGTTCTCAGAGGGACAGACGGTCATTTTAATACAAATTTTGTGAAAGTGAATCAAATTATTTATTCATTTTTAATTTAATATTTTTTTTTCAACATTTCAAATTAAACTTTTTCAAACATGTCCTTCAAATCTTTCAATTTAATAGCTGTTAGAAGTTCCACATCAAACAGGCGTATATAGTGCACACACAATTTTATTTCAAATAAGAAAGATATAAAAGAAAATAAGTTGCAGTAACAAAATATATAAACAACTGTTTGTCCTGCAAGAAAAAGGTCAATTTCGACAGACGATAGCCAGAAATTAATCGAAAAAACGATATTCCATTAAAAACATAGAATGTAAAAAATGCCAAGTCTCGCAACACAATTCTTCCACTATAAAAAGTTGTGAGATTTCATGTAAAACCAAGTCAGTTTATTTTATTTGATTTTTCTTTAAGCACAAATTCAACAATTTTGTTATAAATTGTTAATATCAACATAAGTCATCTTTATTTCTGTAATAGGTAATTGTAATGACTTGGCAATTGCACGATATGATATTCTCTACTAATTAAAAAACTTTACTCTTAAGGGCGCTGCAGCTGTTTAGATTTACTTAATAATCGAAATGGTAGATTATTACAGTTAGAGGTTAGAACCTTTAGTGTTACAACAGCAACATAAAACACTAAATCACCACAATACACCAAAACCCTTTATTTTTGCATCTTGGTTAGCGAAACGCGCGTCCGGTGCAAAAGTAAAGTGTTTTGGTGTATATTGTGGTAATTTAGTGTTTTATTTTCCTGGTAGATTATTCTTTTATAATTATGGTGCTGTGCAATTGCCAAGTCATTATACCTAATTATTACAGAAATAAAGATGACTAATATTGATAAACTTAATTTCTTTAAAATAATGTGATCCCCATTTGAGTCAAAAAAATAAAGTAAATGATTTTACATTGTATATGCGAGTACACAAAGAAGATCATATCCCTCATTAAAAACCATTAATAAGATGAAAGTAATTATAAATAATAAATTGAAGATAGAGTGGCGGATGTGGCACATCGTAAAGTTTGTCTGCCTACTACCCGAGAGTACCGGGTTCAATCCTAGCTCTAGATTTAGTGTTTTATTTTGCTGTGTAACACCAAAGGTTCCAACCCTCAACTGTAATATTGAAAATTTAAACAAAAAATGTTTTTTTGCTTAAATTTTGAGAACCAATGGATCTTTTCTGGATTTTCTTTCATGTAAATTTAATCTACTACCTATGTTGCCATATTATCAAGAAATAATGTTTTTATCTTAAAACTAAAAAAATTTCGAATTTTTTTTTCAAAAAATTTAAAATTTTCAAAAAATTTTTTTCGCAAAAAATAACTCATAGGCGTGTTTCTGATGTCGAAATATACTACCAGTTAAAATACTTGCACTTATTTCTGGGACACCCTGTATATTTTAACTAAAATCGTATTTTACATATTTTCATTATATCATTTTAGTATCTACCTTTGTATCTACACTATAAATTTTTCTTGACAGTTATAGCTCAAAATGGTTTATTTTTATTCTTTAAATACTACTTGACAGTTACAGATAAAAATAGTTTAATTTTCATCATATATCTAGCTCTAATTAAATAATTTTGGCTATAAAATAAATAAATCAAGTCAACAAACGAGTCAGGGCAGATTTCGACAGACATCTAAAAGATACCAGAAAACACAATTTATGAAATAAAGCTTAGTTTTTATCTGTTTTGATGCATACAAATCCCCCTCTTCCCGTACCTTATATTATAACCCTAGGAGGAAACTCCTATGGTCATAATATTTATATTAGCTCAGCCGGTACGCTCGCTCTATTTGAATAAAATTATTTAAAAATAGACCCTTAAACCGTCACTTCATGCAGAGAATATACATATAGCTACGCGTAGCTATATATTCTGTGCCTCAAGGAATGTAAACCACCTTCACTATAGTTGCCTAGTACGTATACCAAGCCCTAAAATACAGGCTCTAAAATATTGACATTCGAATTTGAAGATAAACTGTATAGGTTCATAGGTTTAGGTTCTATGTATATGTGAACAACTGGTGAGATACATTAAAAGTATATGTGGAGGGGTCGCCTACCCTCTGTACAGAGAATATAATGGCACTATAAGAAGAAATAGAAATAAAGATAGTACTTACATGCACAATATACCACAAGAAGCATTATCACCAAAGCTCCCAGCGTACACCCAACGATGGTCCATTGTTTTTCCTGCGATGGACCACCACCATCGTCAGCAGCAGGCGGCATGTATACTTTGGTGACGTCATGATATTCGATGTCGCTCGACATGTCCAGGAACTACATCTACGACAGGTAGCGCAAAAATCAATTACTCCTCAGTTAGCACGGCGCGCGTTACGTGTTATCTTATCGCGACAATCGAGAGGGTTAAGAAGAATGTAAACTTGGGAAGTAGACAGCAACATAGCTAGTTAGCTGTCACCGAACTGATTACCTGTTTGTTCGGCAAATTATTTATAAATTTATATCCGCTTATCAATAAAGCGACGCGACGTAGATGATGTACGGATAGATAAAAAAGAGGAATGTGATTGGAACGGGTTATTTTTTGAAGGAGTCGAGTGTTGGTTTATCTAACACATCTAATAGGTCATTGATTCTAGTGAGATTATATGATTTTCTTTTATTCAAATGGTAAACCAGTATTAATTGCCAGGGGCTTATTGTATTGTATTGTATTGTATTGACTAAGAGTGGGTCCCATGAGACCCACTCCACTGCGGCCTCGATGACCTATTGTGGCTCAGTTTCTACAAGCTCTAATATACAAGAGCGTCAAAGTTCACCCTCAAGACCCAGCCTCTTAATATAGGCCGTTATGTCTGAGGGCGATATGTCTCCTAGGTCTGATAGGTCTAGCATGGGTTTGCCAAACATCTCAAACCTGGTCCTGCCCCCAGCGGGGCAGGTACACATAACGTGCTTCATTGTTTCGTCATCTTTCATACAGAGTTGGCATTCGGCGTCTTCCACCAGTCTCATCCTCTGTAGGTGAGATCTCAGCCGGCAGTGGCCCGTGTACACTAAGCGAGCGTACGCGCTCAATTCCTACCGGCCTTTAGGAGTTCTCCTGTTCTATGTTTGGATGGCCCTGCTAGGATTTTCTTGGCATGTTCCATTCCGGGACTGTCATTCCAGTCCCGGAACGTCGCACCCCTAACCCTTTCACAGAGCCTGTCTCTTGCGAGATTTTTAGGAACGCTAAGTGTCGGTTCTGGGCCCACGAATGGCGAGCCTGCACCAATTTTGGCGAGGGAATCAGCACGTTCATTTCCCTCTAGGCCGACATGTCCCGGTATCCATATTAGCGACACTTTGTTTCTATCTCCCAGTATATTGAGTAGTTTCTTACAATGAAGAATCGTCATTGACGTGCTTTTCGTTGCCTCAAGTGCTTTCAGCGCGGCTTGACTATCCGAAAATATGCATATTGTTTTCCCGGTGTATTGCTGTTCTACCAGCAGTTGCACACAGGTTTCAATAGCATATAGCTCAGCTTGGAAAATCGTGGTGGGTTTTCCAAGACTGTGGTAGATCTCAGTCTTTGGACTGCTGCAGTAAATTCCTGCGCCAGATCCTTTTTCGTTTTTGGATCCGTCCGTGTACCAACACATTTCCGCATGTAGTAAACCGTTTCCCGGCTTATCCCACTCGTCCCTATTCGAAAACAGGACGCTGTAGGTGCGCGTCAAGAGTTGGACTGGTGGTGTGAGATCCGAGACCATTCCCAGAATCTCATCCGACTGTAGTTCTTCTACTAGCCGGTTTTGTATGAACATGATTGTTCCTTGGCTTCCTCGTGCGATATTTAGAAACCTATATGTAGCCCATCTCGCCTCTCTTTCCAAAAGAATTTGAAGAGGAGGTAGGTCGAGTAGGGTTTCCATAGCTTTTGACGGCGTGGAATGGAAGGCACTAGTCACCGCTAAGCATGCTTGTCGTTGTAGTTTCGACAATTTATTTTTTGCCGTTGTTTGGTTGGGTTTTTGCCACCAGGCAACTGCACCATACGTGATAATAGGTCTGATGTGCGTCACGTGTAGCCAGTACATATTTTTGGGTTTTAATCCCCAGTTTCTACCACAAATTCGGCGGCATGCCCATAGAGCATAGCAAACCTTTTTTGATGTTTTTTCCAGATGAGAGTAGCAAGGGAAGAAACGACCATCACGGCAGAGCCCCGCAGTACCGTGACTAGGCATTTATGAACTGGGAGGTCGCCCGGTATCCCAGGTTAGTCGCTAGTGGTCAGGATTCCCCCTGACCATCCATCCCTTTGGCGCGCACTATACCGTAGGATTTGGGGAGGTTTTTATAGTGGTACCTCATCCACGCGGCTCAGACAGTAAAGCCAAAGCCCCCATGTCTCTCCTAGGAAAGACTTACGGTATGACGGACGTTAAGTCCCGAAGGAGGTCCCGTCCGGCATCGTTTTCGCCAGGGGCTTAAGTACCCAGTGTTAAACATTACAAATTATAGTAAATAGTAAAGCGCATAGGCACTAATGGAAGTTATACACCCTCTATACTATGCGGAAAATAGTTCGAAGAAGGTCAAGGTCGTGTTTCCTCGTCTAACTTTGTCTCCTCTCAACTTATCTCCGGTTGTCTCGGCTTATCTCCGCTTGTCTTGACCTACTTTCATTTTTTAAAAACTCCTCGAAACTACTCGTGATATGGTTCGAAGTTACAAAAAGCAACTGGGGTGTCGCCCCTACCAAAATTATTCACCAGAGAGGTTACAGCAAGCAGTAGCAGATGTCAAAGCCAAGCGAAAAACCTTAAGAGAGGCGGCTGAGTATTATAGGATTCCCAAATCCACAATTGGGGATAAAGTTAAGGGGATTCATGATAAGGATCCAGGACGGCAACCAGTGCTGAGTATCGAGGAAGAGGCAAAGTTTTTGACCGATATTTTTAGAAATAATCAATCTTTTTTAATAAAAATGTCTTAAATGATGTTTGAAGTTATTACTTTTTTGAGTTTTTATTAAAAAATGAACTTGATTTTTTTTTTAAACTTATATTTATGTCCGAAGTTTCCTTTTAACTGGTATAACATCAAATTTACACATTTTTAAAGGCATGTCCGAAGTTACCCCACCTATGGGGATAACTTCGGACACTTCTCAAATAAAAAACTATATGCGTTAGAAAAAGAAAGTTTAACATTTTTTTTAGTTAAACATAGGGGAAGGATGTAGTAACCCACACAAAAAATATTGGTTGAATTTAAACACACTTAGGTCAAGAAACTTACAAAAAACATTTCAAATTTATACGTAAAATACGTCGCAAATGTATATTTTTTACTCAGTAGTTTTATACAGGTACGGACGAAAATGTATTAAGGTTGATTCTCACTGTACCTTCCATATCAGTTCCCTTTCGTTTCCCTTCTGTTTACATAAAATATTATATCATATAAATAAATAGGACAATGCACACTATCCGTTCCGTTTCCCTTTCGTTCCATATCCTTTCCTTCCATACATTTTTTGGCGGAAGAACTGAAGCGTATCGGAAACAGCGTTGTCAAGTTCCTACATTTGTACCAGCTCTGTTAAAATTTTGCTGTAATTTATTTATTCTTTCACCTCTTAATTAAATCTATTACGTTTTTCAAAAGATACAAATTTTTAAAATAAAACTTTTGTAATGATATAAATTGTAAAATAAAAAGTATGGAACTATACGGAACGGAAGCTTACGTATAGCGTCAATACAATAAAAAAAAATACGGAACGGATATGGAATGGATATGGAATTGAAACGGAAGGTATAGTGAGAATCAACCTTTACTCTTCAAACCAGTTAAAAAATATGTAGGTGGTGCCCTCTACAAGTAGGAGTTATATTAACATCAAAATCAAATTTCTCATATCAAAAACTCGCAGACACCAATTTCCATCGATACATCGACGTTAGTTCAGAAATTATTATAAACAAATCTAAATAAAAATGAAACTTCTACACCCTGATGTATTTCCAGAACTAAGCATTTTTGACATACATTTATACCAACTTTTTTACTTATTTTTATCTGCAGAATATGCTGCTGAAGTTTCCCGAATACAATTCGGACCACCCTGTATACAGAGTGTCAAATAATAGTATATCTGACTTTGGCGGGCCCGATTCTACAGATAAAAATAAAACAAAAAGTTTCTATAGACATATGCCCTAAAATACTTCCCGAAGAAGGTACAACTCTCAAAAGGTTAAATAAAAATAATATATTTGGTTAGGTTAGGTTAGGTTTTCTTGAAATTGGGTACTCTTACCAAATTACACTACTGGTGGTACTTCTTTTATCCTCATAGATCACAGTAATTTCAATAAATGAAAATTAAAGCTAGGACTTCTTCTAGGCAAAAAGTACTCTTCGTTTAGTTCGAAACGGTGAACGGTTTTCAAGATATTTGCGTTTAAAGGTTCAAATGCATCGATTTTAGTATTAGCAAAATTAGCGAAAGGAGTTAAAATTTATTTAAAATGTCTTTACCCTTAAAAACTTTAACTTTAAAAGATGTATCGAGGAATGTGGACAGATATAACATTCTTTCAGGATGGACTAACCTGGAACACAGACGGCTGTGCTGGCCAAACCAAACCGCTGAAGGAACAGGAGCTGAAGTCGGGAGCTGTATTCGGGAAAAGACCAAGGGTAAGCTTATCCTTTTCCTTGAGTAAATACTCAGCCGTATTCAGCATCATTCTACATTGTGCGAGAGAAAATAATAGAAGAGCTTATTCAGGTAAGCTCATCAATATATGCTCAGACAGTCAGGCGGCACTTGGGGCGCTTCCAGAAGCTAACCCAAAGGTATCGTCGATACTCGTCTGGGAATGCCTATATAGGTGAACTAGGAGCTCTAGCACGAAGGAACAGAATTAAAATATTTTGGGTGCCGGGCCATAGCGGCATCCAAGGCAACGAAAAAGCCGATGAGCTAGCTAGGCAAGGATCATCAGCATCCTATCTTGGTCCAGAGCCAGTACTGGGAATACCCAAATGTATGGCCCGTAGTGCACTAAAACTCTGGATCAGCGAGAAGCAGAATGTCCCCTGGAGAAACAGACAGGGGCACAGGCACAGCAAGGCGTTTATCCAAGGCCTAGCTCTAAAACCGCAAAGAACTGCTAATGCTTAGCAGGAATAAAGTATGGATTACAACAGGCCTCTTGACAGGACACATGGCTGTCAAGTGTTACCTAAACAAGCTCAACCTGTATCAAGGAAGTCTTTGCTGCAGACTGCGATAGAGATCCTGAAACAGCGGAGCACATAATATGTCACTGCGAGGCTTCGGATTGCAAGCGACACTTTTATTTAGGAAAGCTAGGCTAAAACAGGAGGAACTATGCTCCCATCCTATCAAGAACCTGATTAAGTTAGTGCAGGGCACAGGGATCGAAGCATGGGTGCAGATATAGAAAGGGGACAAACACAATAGGCTTGACAGGTCGCAGTGTTTCCGGCAGAGAACGGCCCCTTGTTATTGCAAAAAAAAGGTGAAGGTGTTTTCAAGTTATGTATTTGGGCGTTTAAAGGTTCCGATGCAACGATTTTAGCATTAGCGAAATCAAGAGATTAATTTATTTAAAATTTTTTCAGTTGGCTGGGAAATGACGATCGATGACATTTCCAATATAAATTTACATATAAAATGACCGCGTTCTTCATTTCATAGCCGTCGCTGACGCCGTTTTTTTTTTCGATCATACGGTACTAAAATCGATGCATTGTAATCTTTAAAGGCAAATATCTTGAGAATCGTTCATCTTTTCGAGCAAAGAGTGCCTTTTTACGTAAAAACGTTCTAGCCTTTATAATCTGTTGAAATTACTGTACCTATCAGCCCCGGATCTAAAGGGGAGTAAACCGGGGCACCTACCCCGGGCGCCAATGTCAGGGGGCGCCAAAATCATAATATGGTTGAAAATCAAAAAAATTGCTCCACAAAGCGCCTAGTATGCACTATCACAACCTTACGTTCTTCTATCAAGTATTCATTTTATTTTAAAACGCCCAGTTAGTTTTTGAACACATTCTAAAGTTTCACTCAGAACCTCGCAATTAGTGGAATAAATTAGCGGTTTCAATAATTACTCTTTTTACTTTTTAGTTTACGTTCATTCACAATGTTTAAAAAACAATTAAAATTAATAGAATATCCTAACAACAGCTTGTGGTAGTCAGTTGTATCGTTGTATCCATAAAGAAAGCCAAATATTTAGCTTATACAACTTTTTATTCAAAGTTATAAAACAATAAACTTTTGATTTCTAACCAAGATTTCTCTTGACGGATGCTTATCAATGGCCAAAATGACATTTCTCGCAAAATTTGAAGTATAATTAGTGGAAAAGTCAAAAATTTGTTTACTTTTTCTACTAATTAAAAATGACTACCACTAATTTAGACGTTCTGAATGCTTACATTGAAATTGTAAACGAAAAATTCCTACCTATATCCTATATCTAGATATTTGTAAGTTTTTTAAATTAATTTATTGCAAACTCTAGAGAGAGGGGGCGCTACTATCAATTTTTGCCCCGGTTTAAAAAAATTGTAGATCCGGGGCTGGTACCTATAAGGACAAAAGAAGTACCATCAGTAGTACTCTCTAATGGAAAATATCCTTTCAGGTCTGTTACGGAATTTTTCACAATCGCCATTCGTTTTGGCATTAAAATGTGTGCAACAGTACTAACTTTCAGTAAAAACGATTTACCCATGTTCTTAAAAATAAACAAAATATATTATTTTTATTTAACCTTTCGAGAGCTGTAACTTCTTTGGGAAGCATTTTAGGGCATATGCTTATAGGAACTTTTTGTTTTATTTTTATTTGTAGAATCACCCACCATAGGTATTTTAGATACACTAGTTTTTTGACACCCTCTATATTATTATAATATACAGTTTAAAGTATAGTGTATAGGTACTTAATGAATTAATGAAATTCCGAAAAAATACAAGGAAATACAAAGTTCATATATCTTATTTTTCTATATCTTATTTTTAAAATCTGTATTGCACGAACTTAGTTAAAAACCAAATTTTTAGAAATCGTATTATATGAATGTAAGATAAATGGTCTATAAAACAACATCTGAAACAATCATTGTGTTATGAACTCCAAATTACGCACATTTTTATTACTTACATCCTTTCATAAATTATTTACAGCGGTGCGGATTGTTAGAAGAGTTGTAAAACAAATTACAATAGAAATATAAAATTCAATTACGATTTAACTAATGTGAAAATATCTCGTGCGTATGCCTTCCCTAATCTGTTTAAATACCTTTAATCAAAATTATCCGCACTGATATCATTTGCGAGTGCGAGCGTTTACCTATTGACATTCGACGTATTTTATAAGTTTGCAGTCGTGTCTTAAAATTCTCATTTTTAGGCCTCCTTTAAACGGTATTTTTAGTACTTTTAAACCTTCTCCATTTAAATATACCAGACCATAACTGGTTATGATTAAAATATACGAGGAGAAGGTGTTCTGGGTACTGCTGGTATTGTTATGTTGTGTCGGTATCACTTTGTTTAGCGTCAAGTTATGTCAAATAAGTAAGCTAATGCGAACATATACGTGTTATCGAGTTGTTTTATAGGTATCTTAAAAATGATCTGTATCTTATTTTGTGTTATAGTTAGCGAAAGGTCTGGGAATTCTACGTCACGGATAGTCATAATTGATGAACGAGGTGGTATTACAGGTAGATATTGTATCCTATTTACATTATTTATTGCAATCAATTGACTTTTGGAATTAAATAATTAATTGATTATTAACTTGTCATTATACAGGGTGTGTAAAAAATTGTCTACCAAACTTCAACAGGGTATATTTTTAAAAGCATTGATAAGCCTGAAGCCATTTTCCATGAATACATACATCAAGCACACATCAGCTCACAAGATATTTACATTTAAAAGTTACGATACGTCGATTCTATAATTTAGCGAAATCATGAAATTTAAAGAAATATTTGATCGCTAACTGGTAGAAATTGGAATGGAGTGGATTAAAACATACAGGGTGTTTCAAAAAACATATGCCATCTCTCGTGGGGAGATTCCTCACGTAAAAATAAGATTTATTTATCATATCAACATAGGTCCGATTCTACTTTATTTCGCAGCTACATGGTGTTAAAGTCTTAATATTTTTTCGATTTATTACAATTTTCTTCCAAGTATTTTTAGCGTTTCAGACGAAATTTTGAGGGTAAAGGTTACTATAAATGCGACATATTTTAAAGCTAAAATAGTGTCAACATATTCACCAGGGACGTGCATATGGGTTATCACTGGAATATTTTTCTAAAAAAAGCATGTACTCCACTGACTTTTTTCTCTTGTTAGCGAAATAGTGTAAGCAGTTGAATGCCGATTAAAAGTTGTCTCTTGATATTTTGTCGATTTCGGCCTCCTTGATGAGCTAAACGCAATTTTATTAATTTGCCTTGATCCAAGTCTAATAGCAACCTTTAAAAAAATTAATATCATTAACTTGTGAAAGTTCTAAACAAGTACTCATTGATTCCTCATCACAAAATATGAAAAAAGTCCCTATAAACATGGGTATGGAAATGCATAGAGTTACAGCATGTTAAAACTTTTTAAAATTAATTTTTTTGTAATTATCTTAAATACCTTTTTTTATTTGAAATTACTTTAGGTTGAACTAATAGTAATAATAACTAGTAATAATATTTAATAATAAATTAGGTAAAATATATAATTTATTCATTTTATTTTTATTTTAATTTGATTAATCGTGATTAATAAAATTGCGTTTATCTCATCAAGGAAGCCGAATTCGACAAAATATCAAGAGATAACTGTTAATTGGCATTAAACGGCCTACACAATTTTGATATTAAAAGAAAAAAGTCAGTGGCGCAAAAGTTTTTTTTTTGAAAAAAAATCAAGTGATAACCCATATGCACGTCCCTGATGAATTTATCGATACTTTATTAGCATTAAAAAATGTAGTACTTATAGTAACTTTTACCTTTAAAATTTAATTCGAATCACTAAAAGTACTTGGAAGAAAATTATAATAAATCGAAAGATTATTAAGACTTTAACAACCTGTAGCTACGAAACAAAGCAAAATCGGACGTATAAAGGAAATTAAAATAACTTTTGTTGCACATCATAAGGCTCCGCGCGCACTGCATCGGATCGGACCGATCAGCAAAAGCGACTGCGACCATCGTACATATAGACGGCGCCGGCGTCCACTAAAACATTTCGGCCTGTAGAGGCCAGATTCCTACCTCTACCTATCTACGATAGTCGAGTCATCGCCTTCGCCGTTTCTCGCCGGCCCGATCCGATGCAGTGCGCGCGGAGCTTAAAATACGACCACCAGCAAATTCCATAACACGACGCATGGTGCCATTGATGACGTGCACCCAAAGTTGTTTTTTAATTTCTCTATACAGGGTGACGCACCTCATTCGCCTCGGTTGATTATACAAAATGGAAAGATGTAGAAACAAAATTTTTTATGGGTATATGTAGACAGGTAATGTGCAGCAGAAAAGTAAACTTTACTAAAAGATGTTATTGCTTCCTTAAATGTATACAGGGGTATCAAAAATTGCTGGGCTATTTTAAATATTTATTTTACATAAAAACTTTGTTATTTCAAATACAACACTATGTATTTTTTAAAACAAGTCAAAGCAGATTTAAATGCTCTTTCAAACTATATTAGGGTTTCCTATACCTATCTGGCTCAGATTTTGAACAAAAAGCGATTTTTCAATAAAATGGTAATCAAGATGGCTGGTGTCGCCATGGCAATTTGCTAGTGACAGTTACTAGCTATTTTCAAAATCTACATTACTTGATAGACTTTATTTAAATTTATAAAAGTTAACTTTTATTTAATTTACCTACAATAGTTTAATAAGTAAGTATTTATTATTTTATCAAGAAAAATAAAGAAGTAGTTCTTTGATTTATATTACGATGACTTGTAGACATATTGGATTTTCTATAAAAGAATCAATTAAGGCAAATTCATTTTCTTCATTTTCAACTACAGGTTTCTGCCTAATAGGTTTTTCACATACCACACTATCAGCTCTGCGAAATAGGAAAAGTAGTATTTCCAAAAAACTCTTGTCAAGAAAATTTCTATTTGGATATCTTTGAGCATAAACTCTTCAAGCCAACAAACAATTATCCTCACAAAAAAATGAATGGAAGGAATGGATATTATGTTCCATTCCTTCTGCCAACAGATACTGCTTTATTTTTCTTGATAAAATAATAAATACTTACTTATTAACCTTATTGTAGGTAAATTAATTAGAAATAACCTGTTATAAATTTAAATAAAGTCCATAAACTAATGTCGATTTTGAAAATAGCTACTGAGTGTCACTGGAAAATTGCCATGGCGACATCAGCCATCTTGATTACAATTTTATTGAAAAATCGCTTTTTATTCAAAATCTGAGCCAGATAGGTATAGGAAACCCTAATATAGTTTGAAAGAACATTTAAATCTGCTTGGGCATATTTAAAAAAATACATAGTGTTGCATTTGAAATAACGGAGTTTTTATGTTAAATAAATATTTAAAATAGACCAGCAATTTTTGATACCACTGTATACATTTAAGGAAGCAAAAACATTTTTTAGTAAAGTTTATTTCTCTGGCTTCAAAGTCAGCACAAGAATTAACTCTGAAAAGTAATAAGTAAAGTACAGGGTGTTGACAAACTTTTTTTTAAATATCTTTAAATATCTCAAAAAACAAAGCTTTTAAACATATTAAACCCTTATAGTAATGCTTTATTTTATGTCCAAGAATCCAAAAATGAAATAAAATACTAGGTGTTCCATAAGAAAAAATATAACTTTGGTATGGATCTTAGTTCTGACACACCCTGTACATTTCAAAATAATTTTAAATTATGCACATTGCCTCCCCATATATACCCATAAAGTATTTTGTTTCTACATCTTTCCGTTTTCGTATAATCCACCGAGGCGAATGAGGTGCGCCACCCTGTATATTGATATGAAAAATAAATCTTATTTTTACGTGAGGAATGACGGCACATGTTTTTTGAAACACCCTGTATACCAGATATCCTATATATTATAATGTTTCAAGTGAGAGTTATAAAAGTTGTCAGCGTGTTTAACATCCTCAGAAAACATCTTCGGGTCGTTCATAAGAACTCTTTCTTTTAAGTTTATTTGTAGTATCAGGCTGCCTGATTCAGGCATTCAGTCCGGTATACTGTTTTGTACACCTTGCATGTTACAAAATAATTATAAATTTACAGAAATCCAAAAAAAAATGTTTGTAAAATGTAATTGTGATAGATTCCAAACGGAAACCAGCTTGTCAGTGGCTTTTTGTTACTCCCAGAGTTACTCCTAAACAAAATTGTCTAACCACCAAAAAATGCTTAACATTTCAGGTTAACGGTCGTTGATTAGGCAAATTAGTAAAAAGCCACTGTCAATAGTGTCAATCTAATTTCCAGACAGTGGAAGACAGTGATTAGACAGTGGAATTTACAAAAAAAATAACTTTTATTTTTTAGTCTTCTGTTTTAGTGACGAAATACCTACGTTTTTTAAAGACATTTGATTTTTTATTTTTTAGTTCTAAGTCCTTGTCAAGTAGATGCAGAGAGCCAAGAAGTTTTGAGAACTATCAAACAATCATACAAGAATCTAGCACCACCTATATATTCAACATTACCAAAGATCAGTTCTAAATCTACATATGAATTACCACCAGCTTACCCTTGTAATATTGAATATATTTAGTCGATAATTTTAAATAGGTATCTATTGTTAGGTACCTATATAATTTTTTTAATTTTTCCACTTTATTGATCCAGATTGACAAGTTAAAACGACTTTATTGTTTAAAGCTTGTTGTCATGACAGGCAAGATTACTTCGTCACTGTATTAATGCATTTTTCTGTTTGCTTATGAAATAAACGGATGGTTAGTTTTAGTAATAATAGAAACTAGTTAAGTTTCGAAAATTACCAACATTAATAAAGGTACGCATACACATTTTTTATATACTTAGCGAGTTAAACTAATTTTAAGAAAAATAAAGAATATAGGACATAAATTATTTCTCGAAATTTTGTGACTAATTGTGAATAATGCAGAGTAAATTACAAAATAAAGATAAGATATAGACGATTTAATGATATAGTTTACATTAGAAAAAATTGTTAAGGGCTTTAACATTGTTGTGTATTCTGATACAAATCACATATTGTCTCTTCTTAATTAAATTATTAATTTCTTTTTATTATTTCCTTGTCAGATCTTAATGTCCATAATCTAATTTCTTGTTAGTCGTCATATTTCTGATGATTTTTATTCTGTTACTTGTTAAAAGTAGTAAGTATATTTAGATGTATTGTACATATTTTAAGAAATTTTGTTCAAATATATATTTTTTAGAAGATATTTTTTGTTAATTTCCATTAAAATGGCAATAAATACAGGATGTCCCCAATATTCCGTGAACATAGAACTACTAGGTACTTTTGGAATCAAAATAAATTCGTTGGACACAAGATTAATTTAAGAACTGATATTCCGATTAGAATTAAATTTCGAGTGCCTGTATTTTATCAGAGTCAGCGCTTTAACACTCATAAAAAAGAACAAGAAAAAATACGGGAAGGATGAAAACTACTTCCAGCTCCCAGCCCTACATAAATTTTAGTAGGTATAACCACAGATTAGGTATCCTATAAGTATACAGATAAAAATCTTGTCCCTAATTCGTGGTACGAAAATTGTTTTTTATGACGATGTGCATACGAGTCAAATTTCCTGTGCGCAAAAATAAACTCGCGTAAAATAACAATAAACAGCGTAATAGGGAGATATCGCTAAACCGAATAGCGTGCATGGACATTAATAAGGCCAGGTGTTATTTCCTTTACGTGAGGTGGTATTAACTCTCTTCATTTATAGTTATCGGATCGGAAAGAATTCTGATCGCGTCGCGTCCTCTATTTAAACTTAACCTAACTTTAGTTTAAAACTTTGAAATTGTTTTGTTCACTAGGTATTTTAAAACTAAAGGGCTAAAGTGCTTATTTCCAGTGCTTTATTGTTCAACGTCTGCCAGTGGGTTTAGGGCAACACTAAGTCGTCATCTGCTGTAAACCTAAGAGTTTTTATATGTTCTTTAGTATTGGAAGAGGTGGAATCCATATTTTGGGCCATATGTATTTAATTAAAACTAATCCCAGCTACTTAAATATCAAATTACCTAATAAAACTAAAGCAATAATTCAAAACAATTCAAACATAACCTAAAATAAAAGATCTCGCCGGCCGGCTCCGGTTGTTAAATACCCGCACATGCCCATTTAAGCAATTTTTAAACGTTATCAGAGGTTATTTAGAAAGAGCGCTTGGTGTAATTGATCCGCAAATTACGTCAGGCGGTAACGTTATTAGCGGGTGTTCCGTTAAAAATTGACTCGCGCATGTCGTAACCATGATAAGGTACGCGTAAATACTGGATGACGCTATTCGGTTTTCCGATATCTCTCTAATAACTGTGCCGGTCAGGCGCTGTGCACAATTTTAGAGGCTATAAGGGGGCGTGCTACGTGCGCAAACTAGTCACCTAACTAGTGCCCGATTCCGAAAATTGGAACCAAGAAAAACAATAAAGAAAAAACAAAGATTATAATCTGTATAATCTGTGGTATAACCGAGAGTTTTTTTTTTCGTAAAATGGTCCTTTTTGTTTCTTGTATAAAAGGCCACATCGCAAGTAGAGATACAAAATATACAAAGAATTCCAATATTCCGTAGCCATAGAACAACTACGTATTTTTTTAATCAAAGGTCGCGTTCATCAGGACGTAGCGCTACTGCAGCGATCACTAATTTTCTGCTGAACGCGCCGATTAGTTGTGAGCGCTCTGGGATCAGTCGCCATTTTTTCCATCAGATTTAAAATACGCTACGCTACCGATGCATGATGGATTAAACGTCACATACGCCAAATATCACAAAATGATTTGGAAAACGAAAACAAACCATTTTGTTTATTGTTCTCGGTTGATTAATCTTCTCGATTTGTGCCAAAAATGGGTGAAAACAATTTAATATGCATTACTTATGATTTTGATCTAAAAAGCGCGTTCAGCAGGACAACCAATCGATGGCACATCGCTTACTGATCAACTTATCCTGATGAACGCGACCAAAGTTAATTTACACAATTTACCTCTATAAAAAAGTGCTTAGTGCTTCGTTTGTCCGATAGAGGGTTTCAATCAAAAATAATCACAAACGTTAATTAATTTAAAATTTGCGAGACCTATTGTCAAATTTCATTTGTTATACTACGACATAAAATTCCATATCTTTGCCGATCAGATTATACTTGATTTTATGCCTATGAACTTGATTTGATAATAAACAATCTTTGTAAGTCAGTTTTGGAAAAATATTTCCTCAAAAAGCATGCGCGGTAACGTTTTTGAAACAAAAAATGTAGTTTGGTTTGGTTTGGAAGGTTTGATTGGTACTAGAAGGACCATTTTACGAAAAAAAATCGGTCGTCAGTGGAGATGGAATATATAGGGTGAGTTTCCTACGATGTTCTCTATGGGTATCTCGGAAACTCCTGGAGATAGAGAGTCGGTTAAATGAGGAAAGAATTGCAGTTTCGTGGGGTCATAAATATGCGCCTTTCGGATTTTTGAAAAAGTTCATGGCTTACTAGATGTTTCGAAAAAAAAACAAATTTTGACAATTTTAAAACTTGTCCATTATAATCTATTTTAGACAAAAAGTTTTCAGATAAAAGTTGTAGATAATCAAATACCTAATGAGTTTGTGTTTTCTGATTTTTTCTAAAACCTCTCATTTTTGACATATGACACAAAAATATGTTTTTTTAATGGAAACCATAGTTGGCCATAACTTCATAAAAATCGAAATTTTTTAAGCTTTTCAGCGATATAAGGTATAATAGTTTATTTCGAAAAATTACTGAGTTATAGCAAATTCTTATCTTTCTTGACTAATTTCATTTATATAGTTGGTATGGTATTCTTATTCTGTTATGATTTATAACTTATAGAAAGACAGAATATATCATTAAACAGTTTTTTACAATTAACATTACGCAAATTAAAATCTAAGGAAATAATATCACTACCCCATACACTTTAATTTATTTTAGAATATGTTCTCGCGTGTCTCTTAATTCATCGAGGAGGCCCATGCAACTAGTCCACCTCTTCCGATCCCTGAGTTTGCGATAAATAATATGTAACATTTCTTTCATTATGGGAGAGGAGGTGTCATAATAAAAGTCATGTTGGAACCACTCTATTGATGCGCGGCTATCTAAATTTAACTTTTCATGTCTTGAAAACCGTTCTCTAAAAAACGTAAATAACGTTCACCGGTCAACGTATCCTCGAAAATGTATGGCCAAGAAAAGTTGAACCATTAGTCCTACACGCTTTTCTTTATTTAAAAAAATCATATTTACAATTTTTGTTTATTTTATGTTTGGATGTGACAGTTTTGAGTTTTGCATTTCTGAAGGCAACGACGATTGAACTTGTTTCCATGGCTACCTAAAAGATATTGTTTTAAAATGATGAGAGTTGGCTATAACTCAGTAATTTTTCGAAAAAAACATTATAGCTTATATCACTGAAAAGCTTAAAAAATGGCACTTTTTATGATGTCATGGCCAACTATGGTTTCCATTTAAAAAAAAACATATTTGTGTCATATGTCAAAAATGACAGGCTTTATAAAAAGCGGAGGACGCAATTTCATTAAGGATGTGATTATCTACAACTTTTGTCTGAAAACTTTTTGTCTAAAATAGATTATAATGGAATTGGGATAATTTGTACAGTACGTCTGTCCGTTCTGTAGCTACGGGGTATCCGTGAGAGGGGAAACGATATTCTCTCGATGTTTTTCGTAAAAAATTAGACGACGCGTCCCATCAATAAAAATTCGACAAATTTAGAAGTAGCCAATAAAGTGAGTGAGCGGAGCGATTTGCGGTGACGTACTCGTCAAGTCGACGTATAAAATATATTGCTGTTTATTTAAATGTTTTTTGTCCGCATTCCTTTCATAGACACAGATCCAGCAGACAGTACTGTAAAATAGCCAAATTTTGATTTTTTTCCGAAATATCTAGGGAGCTATGAAGTTTTTCAAAAATCTGAAAGGCGCATATTTATGACCTTACAAAACTTCAATTTTTTCCCATTTAACCGACTCCCTATCTCCAGTAGTTTCCGAGATACCCATAGAGAACATCATATAAAACTCACCCTGTATTCCTGTATTTCTACTAAAATTTATATAGGGGTCTAGGGATGGGAGTATCTTTTCTTGATTTTTGTAAAAGTTAAAAGTTAAAGTTCACTTAGCAAAACATAGGCACAAATATCATTCAAATCGGAATAACGGTTGTTAAAATATCTTAAAAAATAAGTTTAATCCTTTAAAGTTTGATGCCCTCTAACGGACAAACGAGGCACTTTTGTATAGAGGAAAATTGTGCCCAATAAACTTATTTTAATTCCAAAAATACGTAGTAGTTCTATGCCCAGGGAATATTGGGACACCCTGTATAAACGGTATCAAAATTTCTCTGATCTTTTGCCTACAAAGAAAGTTTTTTCATGTATCAGCCTGGTAAAATTTCTAGACGACTTCGGTTTTTAACATTCTATTGCATTTACAACGGTTATTAAAAGTTAGAGAAGAAAAGTTTATAAACCTTGGTTATAAAAAAGTTGGGGAGTTGAAATCTGTGGCGGATAGAGAGGGGGGGCCATGGGGCCAAGGCCCCCCCTAAGATCTCTAAATTCTGTTAAGTATTAGGCTTTTGGGTTAAAAATGGCGCTAAAAAAGCATATTCTACATTACTTTTTATTTGGGCCTCCCCTAAAATGAATTCCAGGCCCCCTTTAAATAAATTCCTATATCCGCCCCTGGTTGAAATGTAGATTTGATAATCAACAATGCATAGACTATATATAGTATACCGGTGCCTCTCAAAAGTGTGGCTCACCCCCTATAATTTTTTTATTTTTTCAGACAAAAAAAAACGACATTTGGTATGTTAGTATATGACATAAATTAGGATTGATTGACGTATTCAATTGTTTTCGGTCACTTCCTGTTTCACCGGAAATGACAACAACGTTTGATTTTTAAATGACACCGTCGGTATTTTTTCATTATGCGATGAAAAATGACACCCTGAATAGAATGACATATCATAAACTTTTGACATTTTTGCTGTGTTAATAACACTAATTTTTAATCAAGGAGCCTTGGAAAATAGATTTGATCGTCTATTGTTTTTAGCGTCCTGGCCGGTTTAAAAATGCCCCAAATCGTTTTTAATCATATCTCAATATTTTCAAATGGAACGAGGGTGGCTCATTAGCATATTTGAAAAAATAACACACACTCGGTATTTCGAGTCAAATTGTCGTTATGAACCGCATGTTGCAATAAATAGATAAATAAACCATATTCAAAAATGTCAAAAGTTGACATATGATATATTATTCTATTCAGAGTGTCATTTTCTACAGTGGCGTAGCTATCATAGAGCAGTTCGGTGCAAAGCACCGGGGCCCCACAGGAACGAGGCCCCGCAGAGCCCTTGAAATAAAATATTTAATAAAAAATATACATTATTTTGGTTTTGTTCTTTACTCATGGGCTCCCAAAAATATCTTGCACCGAGGCCCCCATTTATCAAGTTATGCCACTGATTTTCTATCGTATAAAGCAAGGGTATAAAGTAACAAAATTTCGAGGGTGCCATTTAAAAATCAAAAGTTGTAGTCATTTCCGGTGAAACTGGAAGTGACCGAAAACAAATGAATAACGTCAATCAATCTTAATTTATGTCTCATACTACCATACAAAATCACGATTTTTTATCTGAAAAAATAAAAACGTTATAGGAGTGAGCCATTTTTGCGACGCACCCGGTATTGTTCAATGGTAGAATTTTGACGATGACAGTTGTAACGTGTGATTTTGATTAAAAGGTAAATTGCTTTTTTTCAGTAATTGCTTTTTTTCATGTTATTTGTCGAAACTGTCTCGCTGAACAAACTTTCATTTCCAATAACTCTCGACCTATGAATTTGTGTCAATTTGTTCTTTTTGGCAGTAATATAGGCAGAGGGTTCAGAACGTTAGCAAAGCTCCCCTCCTGCGATATTTTTAAACGGTGACTATATCACTAATTTTTATCATTCCAATCCAAGAATTCAGAATTGAATACAAAATATACAGAAAAACACATCAACATTATACTTTATCTACAATGTGTATATTTTGATCATTTGCAAAACGATAGTAACCAAAGTTTATTTAGATTGTCTTTTCTGTTTTCCTGTGGTATTTCCTTTGCTTGAATCTTCAGTATCGCTCCGTGTAGGATCCTCAGTTTTGACAGTTTCCTCTTCGTCTGTACTATACCTCTTTGAGCCTCTAGGTCTAGCTTTGCTCTCTAGTTGCTCTTTAGTAATAATGTCTGGCGGTACGATTGTATCTGGATCTAAACTCGATCTCCTATCGTCTTCAGACTCCTAAAATGATCATAAGTTCGATTAGTTTTAAAAAACTTGTACAAAGCTAGGTTTGTTTAATAAGGGGTAGTATCTAATATAAGTAACTTAACTTATTAATCTAAGGGTAGTCAATGGTGTAACTACAGGGATGCCCTCCCAGGTACTGCTGGGCACCACCCAGAGAAATCTTGAATTATGACTCTTGGCTACGTATTAATTTGTATTTGCTTGTGATGTAGTAAAAATGACTTCTCTAGTTTTGTTTAGTTAATACTTTGTTGTGTTCAAAAAATGTGTTAATTTTTATTTTTTAGAAAATGTGTAGGTATTTAAGTAATCTACGGGAAAACAGTTTGAAATCTATGAAATTTATTGATAAAGAATTTATTGATAGAGAAATTCATGTTAACGTATTATTCAAAAAATGTGTTTTTTAAAATTAATCTTCATTTTTTAAAAAATAAAAGCCCTTGGCTCCCCTTGGGCTCAACCCCAGCCACTTCCCTCCTTCCCCAGAATGAATTGCTAGTTACGCTAATGAGGGTAGTGTAACAAATATAACAAGATGACTGCGACAAATAATTCAAATGTTTATTTTATTAAAAAAATACTGCATTATGGAAACAATATTTTTATAAAATTGTACGATACTAACTGTACTGCTTCTCCTCTCTTTGCTTGAGCCCGCCGCTTGGTCTTCTTCGTACGAGAACCAAGAATCGATTCTTATTCCGCTTATTCTGATTCTGCTCTTTAATGGTGACAGTATTTTGTTTATTAATGATTTACAATTAACAGAGACTTTCGGATCTTTCGGAAATACCACTTTACTAGATACTTGCTAAAATTGAGATTAATTTAGAATAAAGTCTGTCCAACGAGAGGATTCAAATCAATAATAGTTATTTTTGTCATTTTAATTCATAGGTAAATTGCATGTTCTGTCATTTTTTGGATGTCAACTGTCGTTAAATCTTCTCGGATGTGGGTCAGACCAAGGGTCAGACTAATGCTTTTCATGATATTAAATAGTGGCGGACACAGAGGGGAGACCTATAGGGCCCAAGCCCCCCAAGATCTATAAATTGATTTAAATATTAGGGCACAAACATAGTGAGGCATCTCGATGCGATGCTCGCCAAGATGCTGGCCGCGCTGCTCGCCAGGATGGTAGCCGCGATGCATCCCCACGCGCACTGTTTTAAAACGGCGAATAGGTGCGCGTAGGCATACTGAAACATTTACCATCGCCGTTTTATTAAGCACCAGTTTATGTAATAGTAGTTATTAATTAGTATAGGCTTGGTGCATTTTAGTTGATTTCAACAAATTCTTACCGCAGTGGCAAAAATCAGAAATTATCCCTATCTATTTCACGTCGCCGTCATGTTGATCGCATAGAATAATATTGAAATCGTGGTTTTGTTATAATATATAAGTATTTTAGTTTTTTGCTAGTGCAGTTATTGAGACAAAAAGAGATAAAACACTCAAGTACCAGGTTTGTGTGATGTAACGCTGTTTCGGGTAGTAAAAAATAAATGAAAAAGAATTCGAACTAGGCGTCGGCGTCGTGCTGTGTTGTGACAATGTCAAATGTTAATAAAATTGCCGAAAAAATGTTAACGCATAAAGGAGAGCGCAATTACGGCGTTGTTGGGTGCAATTACATTCAATAACTCAACTTTCCCGGATATTCAACTCTCCTGAAACAAAATTTTATAGCTTCATAGTTTCTCACACCGATTTGATCAAAAGCAAAAATGGTTTCAAGCAGTTTCACGAAACAAGTGAGTAAACAAAGTGCTTGTTACATAATCAAAAAATTAAAAAGATATATACTATGAGAGGATAAAATATAATTTGCAATATTAATGGTATATTTTTTTAATCAACTAGTGATTAAAGTACTTGCTATAAATAAATAAAGTCCATTAACTAATTTCGATTTTGAAAATAGCTACTGTCACTAGAAACTTGCCATGACGACATCAGCCCTCTTTGTTGCCATTTTATTGAAAAATTGCTCTTTATTCAAAATCTGAGCTAGATAGGTATAGGACACCCTAATATATGTAGTTTGAAAGAGCATTTGAATCTGTTTCGATTTATTTTAAAAAATAGGTTGTCGTATTTGAAATAACAAAGTTTTTATGTAAAATAAATATTTAAAATAAATCATCAATTTTTGGTACCCCTGTATAAATTTAAGGCAGCAATACAATTTTTCAGTAAAGTTTATTTCTCTATCTTTAAACTCAGCACAAGAATTAATTCTAAAAAGTAATGTACAGGGTGTTGATAATCTATTCCATTGTAGCATGCATATTTAAATATCTTTAAATATCTCAAAAACTAAAGCTTGTAAACATATTAATATATAATAACCCTTATAATGCATGCCTTATTTTGTGTCCAAGGATCCAAATAAGAAATAAAATATCGGGTGTTCCATAAGAAAAAATATAATTTTGGTGTAAATCTTAGTTCTGACATACCCTGTGCATTTCAAAATAATTTTAAATTATTCACATGGTCTTTCCACATATGCCCATAAAATATTTTGTTTCTACATATTTCCGTTTTCGTTTAATCAACCGACGCGAATTCCATTTAAAAAAATATTCGCGATCCACTCACACTTTTTTGAGCCACCCTTTAGAAGTTCAAATATTTCCTCAAATACATCCTAATACATACTTTATGTCTGGACTACAAAATTCATAACTTTTTTATTATTAGAACTACAGATGCCCGACGCACTTTTGCCGGACCCTGTAGAATCAAGGTTATTACAGTTATTACATTGTTGGTGATAAATTAAATATTAGTATTGTGAACATTTTATTCCACCCGACTCTAGTTCGACATATGCTCAACGAATTGTGACCCTAAAACGACCAATCAAATGTAAAGTTTCAGGCATCCGCGTCCGCTTCTCGCAAAAAACAAAAATTTTGTTTTTTAGGAAGCATCGCGCTGAACATCTAGATTGTGATCTAGGTGCGTGGCGAGATATGGTGGCGAGGTGCGAGGCTCCAGTATGTTTTGACCACAGATTATACAGATTATAAACTTATCGTCAAAAGCACGGGTCAAAAGCATTGTTTTTCGTGGTTCCAATTTTCGGAGTCGCGCACTAGTTAGGTTACTAGTTTGCGCACAAGCACGCCCACTTATGGCCTCTAAAATTGTGCACAGCGCGCCTGACCGGCCTTGCGACCGGCCCAGGTATTACGCTGTTCAAACGGGAGTTTATTTTTGCGCACAAGAAAATTTAATCGTTTGCTCAAACAATTTCCGTACCACAAATTAGGAACAAGATTTTTATCTGTATACTTATAGGATACCTAATCTGTGGTTTTGACGCATAAATTTGTACATATACGTCGTACAAAATAAAAACCGTTGCGGGTATGTTGCGGGCTATCGATTAGGCTAATAAATGTGTGCAGTGCTACCACTACACAAATATGGCCCTTATGGGACGTTTTCAATTAGTTTTAAATATCCCACTCGACATTGTGTTGGCAACGGCGAGAAAGCGGTTGCCGGTGCCACGTTTATTTGACATTTGCCAGAATTTTCTGAACGTTAGTTGAGAGTTGTATCTCGTGTGTATTGAATCTTTAAAACCTTTATCTATCGATCGAAAACTGTTGTTTTCAGAATATTTTGTGTAGTAGTTGTTAGCTTTTAGTATTGAAAATACTTCTGCCCGCGTTTATATGGGACCCATCTTTGAAAAAACGACATGCTAGAAGCAACATGGGTTCAATAACCTGCCTGTCAACACGTACTTAAGTCGATAGAGCCGGCATTGACGAGCGAACAGGGCAAGGCCGTTCAAATCTGGATCGGCGGATAAAGAAAGCGATATTATTTTAAATATTTATTAGGTACAGTTTGGCTATTTTAATCTAACAATTTCCGTAAGGGGCAAATTATACGAGAAAGAGCAGAATCACATAAATAATAAATTTAGACTAATTACCATATTTTTTTATATGATTATTATTTTTTTAATTAACAACTTAGGACATAGAAAAAGCTTGCATGGTTTCCACCGCCAACAGGCGTTAAAACAAATGAATCCAAGGCGTTGTCAAATATTTATTGGGATAAGTTGATAAGTTTTTACCGTTTGAATATTGTTGTAAATAATAATTATTATCATTTAATTAGTGCTAACTTATGAAAATTCACAACACGGCGAAATTTCAATAAAATCGGCCAACGGATCTTTGAGATATTATATAAAAAAATGTCTATTAGGAAACATCTTGACACCCTGTATCTTTAAAATTATGCATTTCCGGACACATGTTTAAATTAACTTTTTACCTTAAAAACACTCAAAGAATCACCTCCTGAAGTTGGCCAGATACTACTTAATTAACACCCTGTATTTAAAAATGGCTAGCTAGTGATTTTGTAAGTAAAGCTATGTTTATTTTAATAGAAAAAAATACATTTCATAAAAAATAAACAAACCCATAATTCAATTACTATACACTATTTAATTAACTTTAAATGTATCTAAATAGGCACTTTAATAATTGAAAAATGGACATGAGCACTTCATTCTTCTTCTTCTTACAGTGCCATACTCTATTTAGAGCGTCGGCTACCTCTCGCATGTACTTGCGATGTGTGTCATCAGTGTTTCAAAAGTACACGGGAGCTACAGTTTACTGCCGAATCCGAACGGCACAATTAATTTGAGATGCTGTACAAAGCAAATATAGTCAAGGTGTGTGGTGGCGGCTCGTTGGTCGCTCTATTTAGATAAATAAATATTTTTATTTAAATAAATAAAGCGACCGTACTGGCTGGGGATCGAACCCAGTACCTTCCGCTCCGCAGATCGACACACTAACGCTGGAGCTACGGTCGGCCACGAGCACTTCATAGAGTATACCAAATATGTAAAAAAAATTCCAATAAAAATCCACAAATGGCACATTAAAATCTGCATTATCTGAAATCAAATTATAGGTACCTAAACGGCCAATCAGCCAGACAACAGTGACAAGACGCCGATTAACTTTGCAAATACTTAAAGCATGCAATAATTTTAAAAAAATATTGACGTGAGATTACTTCATAATTCTTGAAAGTCTTGGATGATAAAGATTTTAATTATTATGGGTCTGTTTTGATTAAGAAGCTAATAAATAATTTCAAAAACTCAACTATCAAAATATAATGGTAGAAAATGTTTAAAAGCATGTATAGGTATAATATTCCATATTAATTGGACATACTGAATGTAAACTAGGTATACATAGTTGCTGCAATCGATAATATATTTTGCTGCTTATTTTCCTCATAACAAAAAACCGTCAATACCGCTACTCACATTATGGGCACCTTTTTATACTTAAATCTCATAATGATTTTTAAAAATACATATGTAGGTACATACTATAAGTAGTGGTTGTCACGGTTTTTTTATTAGGTATGATGAAAAGAAGCTGCAAACTAAATTATCGTTGGAGCCAACTATATTTTAATTTATTTTTATCTACAGTAACTATGCACGGTAAGGGTTCAAAATGTGCCTATACTGTGAGGCAACTCAATTCGAGTATAAATTAACACCTACATTCCAAGTATCTTCTTAGTCTACCGGCACCCCGTTCACCCTTATTCCATCATTTCTATAAAAAATAGTATGATTTATAACTTTTAATTTGTATTGAGAAAATTGGTGAAATTTTGTTGTAGGGCGAATTTAAATTTATGGGCCCTCCATAAATTTACACCGTAAGTTCGAATATTAGTTAAACCTAGGAATACCCAGGTAATAGCCGGAAATATGCAAAAGAAGGGGTGAGT